TCCTTTTGCCCCTTGGCTGTGAGACCCCAGAAGATACCACGTGTGTGCACGTGCATGCATGCATGTGTGTGTTGTCTGCACAATGACCTTCAGAGTTCTTCAACTGTCTGGAAACCCCAGGGTCAGCTAAGCAACAGCAAGGCTGGTGAAACAAGAAGGGAGCCCTCGGGACTTCCCTGAAATTCCAGTGGTTAAGACTCCATGCTTCCACTGCAGTGGGCACAGGTCCCTGGTTGGGGAACCAAGATCCGCATGCTGTGTGGTGTGGCCATAAAATAAAATTAGAAAAAAAAAAAAAAGAAGGGAGCCCTCTGGCTCTGAGCTAGCAGGAGATTCCTCCCACACCCTGGGGGTCTCTCAGGTACCAGTCACTCACTCAGCAGGAGGCTGACAGCCACCACCAGCAACAATCACAGCTCCTCCATGTTTTTCCAGGCTGTAATGTTCGATCAATCCATCAGGTGTGCCACCCACAGAAACTGGGCCTGCCAACTCACTTAAGGGGTTTGAGGGAAGCAATCCCCATGTCAGCTCCTTCTCTGGGCAGTTTTATTTGAGTCCAGTCCACTTTGTGAAGCCATTACACATCAATCCTTCAGGGGTCTTTCCTCCCTCGATGGCTTTGGGCTGCACTTGGCTAATCAGTAACTCCCAGGCAAGCCACATATATCCTGAAATGCACCCACACAGAAGTAGGCTTCCCCGGGGAGCAGGGAGCATCCTCCCCCAGATACTTGGAAAGATGCATATCCCCTGGGGCACAGGACCACTGGCAGTACCGCAGCCTCGCTGACCAGGTCACGTGGTGCAGACCCCTCCCTGAAGAAATGACAGGTCAGAGGAAAAGAGAAGATCCATCAACAATGTCCCCTCTTGACCTAATCAAACTTACAAGCTTTTGCACAGCAAAGGAAACCATAAACAAAATGAAAAGACGACCTAGAGAATGAGAGAAAATATTTGCAAATGATGCAGCAGACGAGGGCTTCATCTCCAAAATATACAAACAGCTCATACGACAACAAAAAAACAAACAACCCAATCGAAAAATGGGCAGAAGACCTTAATAGACATTTCTCCAAAGAAGATATACAGATGGCCAGTAGGCACATGAAAAATGCTCAACATCACTAATTATTAGAGAAATGCAAGTCAAAACTACAATGAGGTATCACTTCACACCAGTTAGAATGGGCATCATCAAGAAGTCTACAAATAAATGCTAGAGAGGGTGTAGGGAAAAGGGAACCCACCTACACTGCTGGTGGGAATGTAAGTTGGTGCAGTCACTATGGAAAATAGTATGGAGGTTCCTCGGAAAACTAAAAATAGAATTACTATATGATCCAGCAATCCCACTCCTGGGCGTATATCCAGACAAAACTATAATTCAAAAAGATATATGCACCCGTATGTTCATAGAAGCATTATTCACAACAGCCAAAACATGGAAAACAACCTAAATGCCCATCGACAGATGAATGGATAAAGAAGACGTGGTACATTTATAAATGGAATATTACTCATCCATAAAAAAGAACAGAACAATGCCATTTGCAGCAACAGGGATGAAACTAGAGATGATCACACTAAATGAAGTAAGTCATAAAGAGGAAGATAAATACGATGTGATATCATTTATATGTGGAATCTAAAATATGACACAAATGAACCTATCTACAAAACAGAAACAGACTCATAGACATAGAGAACAGACTTATGGTTGCCAAGGGGGGAGGTGGGGAGGGAGAGGGATGGATTGGGTGTTTAAGGTTGGTAGATGCAAACTATTACATTTAGAATGGATAAACAAGAAGGTCCTAATGTATAGCACAGGGAACTATATTCAATATCCTGTAATAAACCATAATGGCAAAGAATATAAAAAAAGAATGTCTCTATGTGTATAACTGAGTCACTTTGCTGTACAGCAGAGACTGACACAACATTATAAATCAACTACACTTCAGTGAAAAAAAATTGAAAAAAAACCAAACAATGCAAGCAGGCAGGCCACAGTAGATGAAAGGACAATGGTTTTGTTTATTTGCATTTTGTTTTCAATAAAAAAGAAACAACTGGTAAACCATAATAGTCCAGTGTCCTGGGCTATTTCAGGCTGTGCTGCTATCCATTAGGTGACTTTATTTTAGACGTTTTTTAACGTCTTTTTAGAGGTAACTGATCTTGAATCTTATGTTTTCTCCTTCCAAGCCCACTTTAATTTCTTATTCACACTCGCCTGACTGTCCATTCCACCTACTCAATACATATGCACTTTAAACAAATTCAGCATCCTTCTAGAAGAGACCAGAAAGGCCAGACCTTGTGAAATCCTCTTGGTTAATTCCACTGAGGCACTGGGGGTGTATAATAAAACTTAGCAATCAATAAAAAGAGGGAAATCCAGGAAAGAAAATGCATACAGAGACAGATGACAGACGCAAAGACACGTCTATGGAAACTCCACACAGATAGGCTGTATGCCCACACTTATGCCTCAAAATAAAAAACCCCGTTGCCTCACTCCAAGCAATGAGCTCCATCCCGGGTCGGAAAGCAGGGAAGTCGCATGCTCAGGAGCCCAGCGTCCATATTTAATTTATTAACAGGTAAGACAGCAGAGGCATCACTTTGAACTGGAGACATCAATATGATTTAAACGGCTGCCACTTAATGTGGTGAAAAGGAGTCAACTGTGCCCTGAAAACAGAAGACAAGGAGGGGCATCATCCTGTCGGTTTCCTGGGAAATAACGAGCCCTATTAATAGTTGTTAACATGAATCAACGGATCACTCCTCTGTCAGCGGCTGTCAGGCTGGGCCCCCGAGTCAATCAGTAAAGAGAAAGAAAGCTGACGATTCAGGGCAAGACTCAGCAAGGGAAGGTGCCAGGCCATTGGCCCCTGTTCCAACCTGAGCCAGCTACCGCCTACAAGGAAGGAGAGAGGACTCAGCATAGCAACAAGGCCCCAAGGAGATGCACACCAGTTAGAGACATAAAGGTCAACCAGAAACCCCCCTACAGGGCCTCATAGCCAAGAAGAAGCCATAAAGGGCAGGGCTCCTGGCCCCCTAAAGACCAAGAATTTAGATCTGCTAATATCATGCTAATAAAAGGGTTTGTGAGGCCGGGTCTAACCTGCTAGGAAGACTACCAGGTTTTGTTTGGGGTACAGCTTAAGTTTTGATGGTGTGGCCCTCCACCGTGTATATGACTGTACAGGTGTGTTTTTCCTCTCCATTTCTACCAGTTTAAAATATACTCGCACAAAACATTTTGCAGCATCCATGTCAAAGGACAAATAGCCTTAATAATTAAAGAGTTGCTAAGCTCCTGCAAATCACAAAGCATAAGCATTAATAATAACTAATATTTATGAAAACCTTACTACATGCCAGGCATAGCCTAAAAGCTTTAAATTATCTCCCTTAAATCTCTCAGATACTTTAGGAGGTAAATAATATTATACCCATTTGGCAGATGGAAAAACTGAGGCTTAGATGATTTGAGTAAGTTGCTCAAGCTCTCACAACTAGCAGATGATGAAACAATGATTCAGACCAGGTCTGTCTGTTGAAAGTCTGTACTTTTACACTATGTCACATCAATTTTTCACAGGCGGCCCAGAAAGAAAGAAGTATGTGACCAAAAAACATTTTTAAAACATTTCATTGTGATAGTAACCAAAAAGTCTAAACCAAAAGAATAATAATGAATTTATTTATTTATTTGCTTATCAGGTAAACAAAGATTAAGATTAACAAAGCCTAGTGATAATGACTCTATGGAAACACTAACTCACTTATGCAGTGTTGGTGAGCATGCCAGTTATAAAATCATCCTGGAAGGTAGCTTTTTCAAAATATATAAAAATGTAATTTATGCATGCTCCTTGAAAATCTCCACTCCCAGGAATTACCTTTACGGGATATTTAAATGAGTAAGGTAAGATTAAAAGACATTAATCACAGTATTGTTTTTAAGAGCAAAATATTGTAAACACATAAATGTCCATTTATAAGAATTGCTTAAATAAATTATGAAACATCCATCCAATAGAATAGTATTCAGTCACCTAAAATAATGGTGTTGATCTATATTTACTGACACAAAGATATCGATGAAAAATTGTCCAGTCAATAAAGCAATTACAGGGAATTCCCTGGTGGCGCAATGGTTAAGAATCCACCTGCCAATGCAGGGGACACGGGTTCAAGCCCTGGTCTGGGAAGATCCCATATGATGCAGAGCAACTAAGCCCGTGTGCCACAACTACTGAGTCTGCGCTCTAGAGCCCGTGAGCCTCAACTACTCAGCCCGCGTGCTGCAACTACTGAAGCCCAAGCACCTACAGCCTGCACTTTGCAACAAGAGAAGCCACCACAGTGAGAAGCCTGCACACTGCAATGAAGAGTAGCCCCCACTCGCTGCAACTAGAGAAAGCCTGCACACAGCAACGAAAACCAAACGCAGCCAAAAATGAAATATAATTAATTAATTAAAATTCCAAAAAAAAAAAGAAAGAAAGCCATTACAGAAACATATATAAAAACATAAATATCATACACACATGCAAAGCAACTTTTCTGGAAAGATGTTTGTGAAAATGGTGTTAGCGATGACTTTTAGGTTATGCAATTTCTGGGAGCTTTTACTTTCTTTTGTGTATTTTCATGTATTGTTTGACTCTCTTTAAAGAAGATCTATTGTTTTTTCAACAAAAGAAAAAAAGAAAAAGCACATCTTCTGTTTTCTAATTTAACTTAGTGTAGGATAGTGCTGGACCTGGAAACATTTTTAACCTGAAACATCATATAATGGAGAGAACATGGGCTTTGGAATAAGACCTCAGGTGCAATCTTCGCTTTTACTAGCTTTGTGACTATATTCGCTTTCTACTGCTACCATAACAAATTATCACAAACTTAGCAGTTTAAACAACACAAATTTAGGGACTTCCCTGGCAGTCCAGTGGTTAAGACTCCACGCTTCCACTGCAGGAGACATGGGTTCAATCCCTGGTCGGGGAACTGAGATCCCACATGCCCTGCGGCCAAAAAAACAATACAAAACTTTATTATCTTACAATTCTTAAGTTCTTAAGAACTTAAGTTCTTAAGTCATACCTACAGACTCGGGTGTTGACAAGGCTATGTTTCTTTCCAGAAGTTCTAGGGGAGGGTCCGTTACCTTGTTCATCCAGTTGTTGGCAGAGTTCTGTTCTATGTGGCTGTAGGATCAAGATCTTGTTTTCTTGTTGGCTGTAGCTAAGGGCTGTTCACGGCTTCTAGAGGTTTCTAACGGCTGCCATATTCCTGCAAAGCCAGCAATATGGAGTCAAGTCCTCACTCACCTCTGACCCACCTACTGCTTCCCTCTTCCACTTTTAAGGATTCATGTGATTAGACTGGACCCACTCAAATTATCCAGAATCATTCTCCCTTTAAGTCCATCTGCAATTTCCCTTGTGCCATGTAAAGTAACATATTCACAACTTCCAGGGATTAGGGCGTGGACACCTTTGTAGAGCCATTATTATTATATGTTGGAGAATGACTTTGGCAAATCACCTGAGTAACGATCCTCAACTCTAAAAGGCAGGATGCTTTACTGAATTACTATTCTTTTGTTTTATTTTGTTATTGCTGCATTTTGACCTTCCCATTCTAAGAAGGTATCTAGGCCTCCCTCAACTCAGTGGGCTTTATGATGACTGAAGACAGCTTTTCTCTTGGCTTTTGTTTTCAAAAAGCCTAACCTGGCAGGATGCCTAAGAGAATGCAGTACATAAGAGGGGATGGCTGAATAGTTTCACAGGGAAGTGAAAACCATGAGTACCTTTATGCCCAGTCTTGACAAGGATGCCTTTAAAAAAACATGTGGACTTGGCAATGAGCAAATGAGCTGTGATCAGCATGGACAGGAAACCAAAGGGCTTTCTCCAAAGCTTCTGTTTGAGGTAAGAGCCTTAAGACCTTTGCATGGCCCCAAGGGAGAGGGTGATAAAATAACTCCAGTAATGACAGATTGAATTTCCAGCCCCTCCAATGGATACATGAAGTTAGATTGATTCCATTAAGATAAGATAATATGACTTCTTTTTTTTAATTTTTATTTTGTATTGGAATAGAGTTGATTTAATAATATGACTTCTTCAACACCACTGTCTATGACATAACAAATGCGTCTCTCTGTTACCTGGGAAAAGTGATAAACTACCCTGTGGGAATTTGGGCAGGATGCATATATGTAAAGCACCTGACACATAATAAAGGGACTCCTAAAAATTGATACTGTTATATGAAGATGTGACAAGGAAGATGAGCCAGACACATGCAAACATTATCCTCTAAAGAACTAAAAATAAATAAATACATGCACCTTTGGTATTTTGAGACACACTCAAAAGTCTGGTAAAAGACTTATCACACGGTGTTCAGTATAAAATACTCTTAAAACATTGATGAAGAGAGAGGAATTACCCTGTGCAGAAATTTTTGAGCCTGCTACATCACTTTTTTTCTCTTCCCCTCTATTCAATTGGCCACTACCTAGAAATACCTGTAGCCCCTCTCCCTGCCTCTCACCCCCATGGTCAATGCTGTGGCTCCAGCCCTCATCTTCTCTCTCCAAGACTGTGGATGACAAGACCCTCCCGATGGGTCTCCTTGCCTCCTACCTCAGCCTCCTCTAATCCACCTTTCCCTTTCCTGTTTAAAATTCTTCCATGACTTCCCTTTGGCTTACAATCTTGCCCAATACTCCATTACTCCGAGATTCTCATTCTCACCTCCCTCCCTGACTTTGCACGGCTGGTACTACTTCCTGGGATCACCCCTCTTCCCATGTCTCCCTACTCATACTTAAGAGACAAATTAAATATTAACTCCTCTGTTAGATGCCCCCAGTTCCCCCACACGGTCAGTTCCATCTTCCTCGTTCTTGTCATAGTATAGTATACAGTGCCCTTTCCACGCTGTTTTATTGCTCTGTTTATATGTATTTCACCCAACAGACCACGAACTTCTTGAGTGCAGGCACTGTGTCTTGTTCAACTTTGCATCTTGAGCGCCAACCCACTGTCTATCATACAAGAGGTGCTCTCAAGCGTTTCATTCAATAAAAACCAGGGAAGGTGCAGTGAAGTTGTGAGGCTCTTGGTAGCTGTGAAGAAATGGAAAGGCCAAATGATGTCCAGCAATGGTTCATTATTCCACACAGACTCCTCAGGGGACAAAAACGCTTTTCATCTTCATCATTCCCTCATATGCCAAAACAATGAAAGGGCACTTCTGAAAAAGAAATGGCAGTGGGCAACTCAGAATGAGGAGCTAGTGAGCAGTCAGAATTCAACTCAACAAGCATTTCTTGAGCACCTGTGCTCTGCCAAATCATTCTAGGGACTGGGGATATGCCGTTCCCATCTTCAGACGCCTCACCGTCTCCCACAGGATTCAGGCACATAAACCACGCAAGATGGCACGTGGCGTGGAGTGGGCAATAGAGACATGTTTAATAGATGTTTAAAAGGCAGTGAAGGTACCACTTCACACCCATTAGGACGCTTATTATCAAAAACAACTGTTAGTGAGAGAAATTGGAACTCTTGGGCATCACGAGTGGGAATATAAAATTGTGCAGCCATTATGGAAAACTGTTTGGTGGCTCCTCAAAAAGCTCAACAGAGATTTACCACATGATCCAGCAATTCCACTTCTAGGATCCAGCAATTCCACTTTCAAAAAATTAAAAGTTGGGACTCAAACACTTAAACACCCATGTTCACAGCAGCATTATATATAAAAGGCAAAAGATAGAAACAACCCAAGTCTCCATCAACAGATAACTAGATAAACAAAATGTGATACACACACACACACACACACACACACACACACACACACAGAGGTATTTTACAGCCTTCGAAAGAAAGGAAATTCTGATACATGCTATAACATTAAAGAACCTTGAGGGGCTTCCCTGGTGGCGCAGTGGTTGAGAGTCCGCCTGCCGATGCAGGGGACACGGGTTCGTGCCCCGGTCCGGGAAGATCCCACATGCTGTGGAGCAGCTGGGCCCGTGAGCCATGGCCGCTGAGCCTGCGCGTCCGGAGCCTGTGCTCCGCAACGGGAGAGGCCACGACAGTGAGAGGCTCGCATACCGCAAAAAAAAAACAAACAAAAAAAGAACCTTAAGGACATCACGCTAAGTAAAGTAAATCAGTCACAAAGGACAAATATTGTATGATCCCACTTTATGAGGTACCTAGGATAGGCAAATTCCTAAAAGACAGAAAGAATAAGGGAGGTTACCAGAGGTTGAAGGGGATGGGGAGCTTAGTATTTAATGGGTACAGAGTTTCTGTTTGGGATGATGAAAACATTCTGGAGATGGATGGTGGTGATGGCTGCACAACAGAGCGTATGTACTTCATGGCCCTGAACTGTAGACTTAATAATGGTTAAGATGGTCAATTTTATGTTGTGTCCATTTTACCACACTTTTTTTTAAAGCAAGGAAGGGAAATTTTCACTCTACAAGAATGAAATTTAGAAGAACACTGATAATAAAAGTGACTGAGAAATCATTATGTGTGATCTGGGCTTTGAAGGGTGAATAGGAGTTCACTGGACAATGAGTCAGAAGTCTGACTTCACGTCCTGGAACTGTCACTTCCTTTTATGTGGTTCTTTTTCCTCATCTATAAAAGTGAGAAAAGATCTACCATACACTTGTGGTGAGAATCTCATGAGATAACATGCCTGAAATGGTTTTACAAACTGCAGGAGGATTTTCCAATATAAATTTACTGATGACAAGTGATATAAAGTATAATTATTGAAGCCAAGACCTTCATGTTTCCATTATCTCGATTTTGGCCAGCCCAGAATATTTTCTAAAGTTTAAACATGATATGCACTCCTTCCTGTCCACGCAGGATGAAGTTAAGAAAGAGGTAAGGGCAGAGAAGGAATAAAGGTTAAAGAGCAAGGTTTTGAAAGTATGCTCTTACTTTAACATATGAATATTATTCACCTATTAAAATTGAGAAACAGGAAGATAGGAAGAAGAAATAGGAGAAGGCATTTAGTATTTGACTACCTTCACCTAATATATTACAAATTGCATCGCTGATGTAGAACTGTGTAACTATACCGATACAAGAACGGGAGTCAATGTGCAAAAGGGAAAATACTTGTGTAGAGATGGGGGGCTGTGGGTTACATTTTTTTAAATTTCATTTTATGTTGTTTTGTTGTTTTTGCCGTAACAAAGGCGGACAAGAGAAAAAGTAGTACATTCCTTTCGTAAACGTTTATCAGCTGGTTTCTCTGCTGACTACTTACCCACAATCCCTGCCCCCACCAGCTTCCAAGATGCTCGGAGGTCCTGTACCATTAAGCCCTGGAGGCTCAGAGGGTAGCATTTGCTTTAGCAATGACAGAAGCTTGCACAGAACTGGAGGATGCTCCAAGGCCCCTTCAGGGTAAAGAGCTGCCGCCTTCCACAGATTTGTGAGTCAGGGCTCCAGAGGATGCTGAGGGCGCAGGAAGGGCCATCAAACTGTGTTTGGCCTTGGGCTTTGATTCAAAGGCTGCTGTTTCCAAGGCCCTCACCCTTCCCACTCTGAAAGAAAAGGTACTGACTCCAAATGCTTGCGACCCTCATTTTGATTTGCTCAGTTGCTGGCTGAATTAGTGCAAGGACATTATTTCTCGGAGCAGGGTTGCCCCCAACATCCTCTCCAGACAGGAGAGGGTCATAAACTATTTTGGCTGCTAAGCTCATAACTAGATCAAAGAGAGAAACTAGGACTGGCAGGTTGATTTTATGCCCTTGTGCTATCTCAGTCTATCAACCTGTAGAACCAACGAGTATTAGCACCCCTGACATCCGTCAGGAGCCGCAGCCTATAAACAGGAGGAACAGGATCAGGGAGACATCTCAATTTCGCTCTGCAGACAGAAGGCCAGTCACATAGACAGAGAACATTTAACCCCGTAGAGACATGGGCTAAGCCTCTGATTCTTCCGGCATCAGGACCCCTGTTCCCAAGGTGGAGGCGCTGCGGGTCGGTGTGCAAGCTGAATACACACAAAGGTGCCTGTGTAAGCAGCAAAGCGGGGTGACCTCCAGCATCTGGACCCCGCACCTGGTCACGTCCCTGGCACACGGAGAGCTGCCTGCAAGAAGGAGCACCTTTCTCACAAACACATGACTGGCTCCCAAGCCACATTCCTAAGGGGCTATGCCTACCCTGGGGGACCATTTCCACACAAAGCACCGAATATAACAGCAACAGCCCTACCTGTGCAAAACCAGAAAGCCATCCAACACGTGTGTGTGTCCCATATCCAAATAGCACAGAAATCTGCCTAAAAACTGGGCATCGACTGTCCAGATAGAGAAGCTTAGCATTTTATTTTATTTTATTTTACTTTATTTTGTTTTATTTTGTTTTACTTTATTCTATTCTGTTCCATTCCACTCTATTTTAAAAATTCTTTAGACACCGACAAACTACCCTAAGCTTCATTTAACTTTCAAATCAGATTTCCCTTTTAGGTCCCACCATCAACAGTTCTTATGTTCAGTCATTTTCCCTTGCAAGTTCCACTGTGTTTGACCCCTGACAATGCCAGCCCTACTCCCTTCTCCTCGACTGTCCCCATCGGATCCTCTTGCATTGGCCACACTCCCTCAGAGCCTTGTCTTCCTTGCCTCGCACCTTCCTTCTTCCAGCCTTAGTGGCCCTTTGAGAATAATGTCATCATGTTCCTAACCAGGCCTTCTGTCTGAATTCACGATTTTAGAACTATGTTACAGAGCCCTGAAACTATATGAGAATTCAGGAAGGTGTCTAAAACGATTAGTTCCATAGAATTAAAAATCCAGTTTCTGGAAGGGGTCAAAGCCTTCAACTGATGCAATTTTATCTTTTAAAAAGAAAATGAAGCCTGATCCAGCAGTTCCACTCATGCGTTTATATCCAAAAACGACCAAAAACACTAATTCAAAAAGATACATTCATCCTAATGTGCATAGCAGACTTATTTACAATTGCCAAATATGGAAGCAAGATAGGCTCAAGGATGTATTGTACAGCGTGGGGAATACAGCCAATATTTTTTAGTAACTGTAAATGGAAAATAACCTTTAAAAATTGTATATCAGAAAAAAAGAAAATGAAGCAACTGAGGCTAGAAATATTAAGTGACTTATCCCAAATCAAACAAGTGTTTGTGCAAAACTAGGAGTCGAGTGCAGCCCTTGCAGTCTGTCCTTCCCTAGAAGCTGCATTTATTCATCTACCAAGGAGAGACCAAGCTTCCATATAGGGAAATGGTCTCTGATATTCTCAAGAAAGGCAATGCCCAACAGACTGAGATAATGAAGGTGTTGTGGTTTCATGCATGACTGTTAGTGCAGGGCCCCCAGGGGTCCTTGTTAGAGAACACAGTAAGGAAAGAGCCATTGAACATGGACTTCAGAGTCCACTGGCCGGGTTCAAACCCCTCCTCTGCCATTTCCTAGCTTTGTGACCTTGGGCAAGTGCTTCAGTTTCCTGATCTGTAAAATGGGAATAGTAATAGTCTGATCCCATAGTGTTGAGGTGAGCATTAAATGAGATAACTCACAGAAGAAGTGATTAACATGGTAGTGACGCGTAACTTAAAAGAAGTCCTTCTGCCTTCTGCTAATAACCTCCCAATCCCAAAGTGTATAATAGCATATCTATTTTATACACACACCAAGCCAAGGTAGATCATGCTAATGTGAGAGTCTAAGATTTTGTCTGATTTTCATGACCGCTGGCATCACGTAGTATATTCACACATGTTCCAAGAAGAAAAAACATGCACTGGGCACAGCCAATAAATATAAAAATTGCTAAATCAAGTTCATTTAAAAACCCCATGGTAAATCCCTAGTAATTCTGGGTTAATAACATGCTAGTTACCATCTTGGTATAGCATCAATGAGCCATACATTTGATGTGGGGACCTGCAGCAGAGATTAAATGCTAAAATGAACTTTCTCCGACTGCTGCATGAAATGGTCCCTGATCACTCCATATCGCCATGGCTTTTCAGAAAAACCTCCTATGTTACTGTTTTTTTAAGAGTTCACTAATTGCCTAAAGTATCCTCCAACTAGAGTTTCTTCTAGTGTAGGTATGTAAAGAGTAGTCAGTTAGCTAGTGGGAAGCAGCCACATAGCACAGGGAGATCAGCTCAGTGCTTTGTGACCACCTAGAGGGGTGGGATAGGGAGGGAGGAGATATGGGGAT